AAGACACCAGGTGGATACAACATACAAATGGGGGAAGCAAAAGACAGGAGCATTCTTGCCTCCTCAACATCTTCTATGCAACCCCTAACCTGAGAACATCCTCTTTCCCTGTTCTGTTTCTTCTCCTTCCTTTAAATACAGTATTTCCAAAAGGCCTATTAATGCCAGAGTCCCCTCTATTAATTTCTGGTGAAGGGAATAAAAGAAGAAAAAAAATAAAATAAGGACAACTCTTGTTGAACATCACTACTCACCCAGTGTCTCTTACTGCTTCCCATGAAATTTATTTCTACCCACATTGAGAAAGTCCAAACTTTTCTGAAATCACAAAATCCAGAAATAGACACCCACACCCCTCTAAATTTGCTAGGGAATCACTGTACTTGATACTATGACCATTAGAGTATCATTGTGTGCAACTCTCAGAGACATGAATTGTCTCTGTACAGAAAGCAATATGGCCTATGTCCTTGTCGCATCCCATCATACCTAGTTATTGCAGCATTTACAGGGTGCTGCATAATGTCACAAAGTGATCTGAAATCACCTATAATATCTAGGCACAATTAGATAAGAGAGAGAGAGAAAATGAACCATTAACTTCTGATTTCTTTGCTCCTGTGTTACACAGTTGTGGCAACTGAAATGGGTATATTTGCTCTTTTTGCACTGAGAATAGTGGTCTACACGACTGCAGTACAGGAATATGAGAATTTAGAAACCTTCCATGAAAATAAAACAAAATCCTTACACAAAATTTGTTCTCATTTTAAGCTGTCACTACTGAAATGTCACTTGTACATATGAATATTTTTCTTTTAAGAAAGGGAAAAGAGAGTCTTTATAAAAGCATATGAAAATGACATGGCAAATTGTAATTGATCCCTTCAGAGCCATTGTAGCCTGTCATGTAACATAGCTGCTGCAAAGCCATTGAACAAACCCTGTATACCCTGTAAAACCCTGTATATGATAGAAACCACTTCAAACCAGGAGGTGCTGCTGCACCTCCAGCACATATGTCACCTAATACATATTTGCATTTTAAAACAAAACCAATATATCCTTGAACTGATGGGCTATAATGCTGCTTTGATGTTGTTGGAGATGTACATGGAAGGACTTTAAAAAATATATATTGATTGCTGACCTGACAGGCCATAATGATGCTCTAAAGTTGTGCATGGGCTATAGTATAAATCCTCCTTATTTCGTGGGTCCTTGACAATGGATGGCAACAGCATAGGGGTTTATAATAGAAAAGCTGACACATCTTTATCTATAGCTGCACAAATGGTGCCACTATAATTACACTTTATAGCTTGAGCACCACTAGATAAGTTGCTAGTTTTTAATCATATTAATCAGTGCTTGGATGCTTCAACTGCCATAAAGTAGTCTACACTATAAAAATGAGAGGATTGCCAAGCACTAAATATCATATATGTTGAGAAACATAAAAGTATTCAAAAACCACTTCACTGTAAAACAGACCAAAATCTATTGGAATTGAAACCCTAATCAGTTATCTGTTAATTGTGTCAATTACAGTATGAGGGGTTAATTTAATAGTCATACTGCATCCTTCATATACGTTACAGAAACATTGCTGATTAATATTACACATCTTGCATTAGGATCAGCCCTATACATGTTACTATTTACCTATTAGCTATAAACCAAGTCTGCTGCTTATCAAGAAACAAAGTCAGAACTTTCTTATTTAAAGAGATGTAGTATGATTGTTCCTTATGCACTGCTATGTTCTTTAAAAGCTGACTTCCAATTGTCACCATGAAGTGAGTCACAAAATCACCACTGATTTAAATGGGAATAGAATTGGGCCCTGGGTATGGTTTACTGGAATTTTTCATTTCATGTATGTGAATAGTTTACAATTTTATCCAAACAAGAAAAGTTTCCCCTCACAACAGGCATATTTAGTGCATATTGGAGGGACAAAGCACTTGGGTCTGAAACCCTGATCATTTTTTATCAACTAGGAGTCTTTAAAACTCATAATATTCCATTGGAGGTTAAAAAACAAGCTTCAGCTTAAACTTGATTTCTTATAACTCACTAATACCACACGCAAAATATTTGCAAATATTTGTATGATACATGATTATATCATTTCCATATAGCGTATATTCCCTCTTAGTCATTAATTATGTACTCTCAGATAGCACTGCATTTATAACATTTTCTCCAGAAAACAGTGTTGTTTCTAAGATACATACCTGCACTATATATAAGAAGCCCCCTAAATAATTAAACAGAGAGATGGGGAGAGTATGTTTTGGGATGTATGTGGGGGAAGAAGACAATGCCATGAACATTTCTGAAAATTAGAAGAGATGTATTGGTGCATGGGAAATGCCATAGTGTTATTCTGACCCCTGAAGGATGGAAACAGGAGTTTACTTCACATCCTTTTTTTCCCAGTTACTCAGGGTACTCTATGAATGTCAAACCCTAAACTACATTAGCAGAATTTATTTATGTCTGCCCAGGCTTGTCCTAAAGAAATATAAAAAATAGTCATGAACAAATGGTAAGCCAACTTTAAAATACTGCTGTTTGGAGTAAAGCTGAGGAGGGAATGATTTTCTAGTCTGGTGCTATGATGTTTTCCTTTGCAAAGTTACTATGAGTTGGCTACTGTATTACATCTCACAAGTAGAGTAGGACTGTGGAGATCACCTTTATCAAGAAATGCAAAACCTCCTCTCTCACCTCTTCCTAACTGAGAAGTTGTTTAGTAAATTCTTGCTAGGCTGAATCTACAGTGAAGTAGGAAAGGAGCAAGCAGGTGATAAAATCATTCATTTCAGCTGAGTTAAGATTTCATCAGGCTTGCATTTTTCAGAAAATATGTCCATGAAAACCGCTTAAAGGCATGGGGCTTCAATAGTTCTTTTACAAGCTTATCAGTCTTAGAAGAGTAACTTTTCTTTGTGAGCACAGATAGATATGGTGATTTGAGTCCACAATACATATCAATACAACATTACTTTTTTGGTGGTCCATTTCAATATAAAGGAATTTTTTTTCTACGTCCTTCTGAAAGGACGATTGTCTCACACCTCTGCCCTCTGCCCTCCCCCCCTCTTGCTTTTCAGATGTATTTTAAAGTTGTTAATATACTACCATTTGTATGAGATTTAAATCATTTAAGGACCATGTTCTGTGTTCTTTTTAAAATTTAACAGGTAGATTCAGATATTTTATCTGAAGATACTTTTTTTCTGGTGTTGCACACATCTCTAGAGTATATCATACTGCTGAAGAAAAAGCTCTAAGACACTCATTTCGTATAAGCAGACAACAATATCCATTTCAAGACCTGCAAATACCAGAGTGAAACAACCATCAGTTCTACCTTGAACAGTAAGGGGAGGGGAGGGCACAGATTATGTTTTATCTTGAGAGAGGAACACAATTTTAATGTCTGTTGAGCTCTCCTTCCACTCAGCTGCTGACATGTATTTAAATCACAGGTTACACTGTGACCCTCGTTGAAAGATTCAGGCTGGTCTGTTCAATGGGACCATTGTGTAGTATTGCAGGGATTTTATGTGGCTCTCTTCACGGGTGTGGCTGAGTTGGCAACTATGCAGCCTGACGCTTTTGTGGAGCCACTGTCCCAGGGAAACTCCACTGCGAAAAAGATTCATGTTAAATTCATCCCACAAAAGGCAAACGTTTAACAGGAGCCGAACAAGAGATCGCCCCCATCTCTCCCCCTCTCTTCATTCCAAGCTCCTAGGAGCATTCTAAAGTTAACACAAGTGATGGATACACTGTATGCTTACATTATTACACTGTCGCCGACTGATGTCACTGATCTAACCAAGTTACATAATCATCGATTATGCACAAATACATCCGTCTTCCTACAGATACATCTGCATATCTTCTGCCATCCATTATGCATGAACCCACCAGCCGTACATGGGGGGCATATATTTTCGCATACACTATATAACTTTAGCATTGCAGTGCATTGCACTATACAACGTCATCGCTATTGATTCTCTCAACCTCCCCCATCCCCTCTATCAATTTGATTTTGCAGAGAAAAATTAACAATTTGCATTGCTTGGATTTCTTTTTTTTTTTAAACTGGTCTCATTCGCTTTCTTGTTTGGTTTATTTAAAGGGCTGTTTTCCCCCCACCACAGTAAATAGAAGTAACTAATGTATACACAATTCCCCTGCGAGCTGCATATATATGTAGGCAATCCTGAAGATATGATCTCTGTGGCAGATCTTCAACTCCTTTGCACGTGGGTCTGAGGTTTCAATGGGTAAGTTAGTGGGTGAAAAGATATTTAATAAAAGCAGGCGGACCAGCGGTTTTTAGGCTAGTGACATTTCAGATATTTTTTATATTCGCCAGTCCAGCTTTTACCACCATATTCCAGTTTGCAATTTTCTTGTAGAATTTACAGCAATAGTTTGTAATCCAAAATCACCAGTGACATTTACCTGTTAGAACCATATCCCTGTAGCATAATTAATAAGCATTGTCACCTTAAAGTTTAACAACTTGAAAAATGAGGTTTCTCTACCTCCATTGCAGCTATGAAATGCAGCAGACTGCTGCACAGAGTTGAACACATTTGTTTTAACGAACGGATGGGAACCGATTTTATGTTAAATAGATACCATTACTTAGTCCTCTTTTTACTGCCATATATTCTTTCCAGCCACACATATTACATCCAGAGAAAGACTGTTTGCCCAGAATGAATTCATGGTACTCTCCAATATCAAGAGGTTTGGGGGGTGAGGGGGGTGGGAGACCGATGCTTTGATTTATCACAAAATGCACTCTCAACAATACCTACTGCAGTTATTTCACTCAGCTGCCAATAATGGCTAGATATCCCCACACATCAGTGTAATGCAGTAATCATGAAAGTACCCATTTCAATTACAAGACACCAAGTTTAGCCATGCCATCGATGGGCTTTGCATATATAAAATGACCTTACCCCACAACAGTCTTCCAAAATATTCTGATCTTGCTATCAGTCAATAAGGTAATTTCTGGTCATCACAATGCGTATTCGGTGAATCCACGTTTTTACTCCTCTTTTTTGCTAGCAATTAATAATTCGAACCAGAAGCCCATTCACAAGTGCCAAGTTCACCATCAAAGCTGATAATTCCATATAGACTTAGATTCCCTGCAAGATTCGCCCCCGTTAGTTCTGAAAGTGCCCAGTTTGCTCGCGGAAGATACGATCCAGGTGTAAAGCAGAAATTAATTTAAAAAAAAAGGCGGGGGAGGGAGAGAAGGGGGAGGAAAGGAAGAGGAGAAGACTGAGAACCACACAAGTCTGAGAGCTCTAGGACAAGAAAAGGAGTCTTGATTGCAAATCTCTGTGTGTGGTAGCCTTTCAAAGCCTCTTGCTGCACATGCAAAATTTCCAGATCCAGGATGCAGCTATAAGAAAGAAAGAATCCTATGTATATTTCACAAGTATCCTGCAATAACGGATCCGATGGGGTTTTCCTTGTACTGTACTGCTATGTGGAAAGCACACAGCCCCTGCTGTTTGAAAGGATGTCTCCTGGGTCCTAGCACTCCCACCGGGCAAAAAATAAAATAAATAAAAAATAAATAAATCTCAAAAAAAAAAAAGGTGGGGGGAAAATCAGATGCCGGTTTGCTCTGAATGATGCTAATCTTCAGTGAAAATGACAAGTGAACAACAAATAGCAGGAGGTCTTGATTAATAACCACAATCCACCCAAAATATCCTAAGGAAAAGAGAGGGAGGGAGAGAGAGAGAGAGAAACTGCAATGCATAAATGATTCCAGTGTTTCTACAAGATCGGCTTATTTGATTGAATGCATTCTCTGGTTTGCTGCAAGTCAAAGAAGATACTGTTACTGCCACCCAATGGATACTTTAGTACTAGCCAATCCACACACAACCACCGTTTTGCACGCAGTAGTTTAGAGAGCTGATTTTTTTCGGGGGGAGGGAAGGTGGGAACCGTCAGAAAGGATCCTGGAAAAAAAGTCCTAAATAGCAGGGATCTATCTTTGTAGACAGTGACTCCATTTCCAGTATGTAGAACACGCGTTACATTGGTACCACTTGATTTTCGCTGCTCTTTCTAGAGGGCAGGGGGGAAAAGGAGAGCGGCTAACTTGCGATGGATTCTGTGCATATGCGTTAAACGGCGAGCTCAATATATTGTTTCCTCCAGTTTCCGAAGTGAAGTGCCGTTTTACAAGAGATGATGCATTATCTATTCTTGGATTTTTTTTATAAGGCAAACTGTGGGCCTCGCTGTTGCCATGGGATCTTCTTTGTGCGAACTCTCTGAACTGTGTGGGAACAGTTTTATCTTTTCCCTCCCTTCAGCTCCCTCCCCCACCCCCCGTAACTATTCTGAAGATATGTAACAAAATGTAACTGCATTATTGCCAATTAAGACTAACAGCAGCTGCAAGGTGCATCTGATTAGGAATGTTAATTACTTCACGAAATAAATACTCGTTTGCAGATGTCTATAGTGTTAAACAATGATCTGTAAAATGTAACGGTGTAAAATTCTGACACCCCCGACAAGGCTCAGAGACACATTGATGGTTAGGAGGCATTTTGAACTTGGACGACCGGGGGGGAGGGGGCGGAAGAGATATTTACAATAAATGAAACCTGAGAACCAATATGATGCATATTAGGATTCATGTCTAGATAAGGAATACTCATTAAAGTATGGTAATGTATATATCACCCACTCTCTGAGTGGAGCTGTGCAGTAGAAAAAAAAAGCAGACACACTCATTACATTAGAGGATTAAGTTAAAAAAAGCAGGTGAGGGAATGTTGGAATTTATGCACTATGACAAAGGTGGGCAGGGTATATGCATTGTGGGAACTGTAGGAAGTATATATGGGAGTTGTGGTAAAGCTAACTGCATAAGCTTCTTCCCCTTCTGTAGCAGAATGTCACAATTCCTGATAAATAAAGAAAAAAGTAACATTTAACCACAAGTCAATTGTAGTGTATCTGGAAGTTAATATTACTGGTTAAGCAGATGGTTAGATACTACTGTAAGGGGCCTCTGTAAGTAGGTGGATAGGGTAGACATGAACGAAGTTGGAGAATTACTGTGCTGACATTTAGCACTTAGACATAGGACATTTTAAATCTGCCAAATGAGCCAGGCAGTGTACAACTGAGATGTTGAGTGTCCCAAAATGCCTTGTAGTAGCCAGAATAGAGGAACTATTAAAGAGGGAAGAACAAAGGTGTTGTGGTTAAGTCCCTGGACAAGTACTCAACATGTGGGTTCAGTTCATGGCTCTGTTATAGATATTCTCTGTGACTTTGGGCAAATCTCTGCATGATTTAGCCCAGAGGTCGGCAACCTTTCAGAAGTGGTGTACCAAGTCTTCATTTATTCACTCTAATTTAAGGTTTTGCGTGCCAGTAATACATTTTAAAAGGTCTCTTTCTATAAGTCTATAATATGTAATGAAACTATTGTTGTATGTAAAGTAAAGAACGTTTTTAAAATGTTTAAGAAGCTTCATTTAAAATTAAATTAAAATGCAGAGGCCCCGGACTAGTGGCCAGGCATGGGCAGTGTGAGTGTCACTGAAAATCAGCTTGTGTGCTGCCTTTGGCACACATGCTATAAGTTGCCTACCCCTGATTTAGCCCCTCTTCTGTAAAATGGGGATAAGACTTCCCTAACTCAGATGAAGGTTATAAGGATAATAGTTCATTAATGTTTGTGAAGTGCTCAATATTCTGGTGATGAGGGTCGTATAAGTGCCTAAACAGATAACTGTTGATTGGAGGATGAGCAGGAGGAAGGAAAAAGGGAAAAAATGTGGAAAGTGAAGGTGTAGACAAAGACTAGGCATCTGGTACATTTACTAACACCAGACTGGAAAAACTAAGACTGTACCTGAAAATAGAGTTGGCAAATATGCAAACGTATAGAACAAATGTGGCCTCCATTTAAAGATATTAGGATAAATTCAGCTTTCAGTTGCAACCTTGAATACCATTATAGTTGTAAGGATTTAACTAAAGAACATTTTGTCCCCTGTCTGGACACTCTGTTGAGCTATTATTTGACTTTGTCCTGCTTCTGAGAGGTCTGGCATTTGTACACAGGGCAGGCAGGAAGGTGTGGCATGTGGATTAACACCGTCCTTGTAGCTCACAGGCAGCATATATATGGTCATATATATAATTATGTATCCTGACGTATTGTTGACGATGAAACACTTGTATAACAGCGTCCATATATTATGCAGTATGTATTCCAAGTGATGGACTTCAGCACCTTCTTTGGCCTATCTTCTTTTGTTGATGACCTTCTCTGAAGAGACATTTCATCAAGAGAGGAGCAACAATTTGATGAACACGGGATTATTGAATACATTTCTCTTACTCTATGATGTAAAATCAGGGGGGAGATATCAGCTGCATCTCATTCTGGCTCTTAGCAAATGACTTAAAGGAATAAAACATTAAAAGTGTGTATTATGGAAACAGAAATACTATTAGGAATAGTGCAGTCAATCAAAACACTTAAAAAAATGAAGTAATATTTAAAATGCAATAACAGCAAAAATAAGTGGCTCAGGGGGACTGCTAAAAATGATGCAGAACTTTTTACTTTTAGATTGTTTATTCCAATACAGCTTAGTTTTGTAGTGACCAAAGATTTCTACTCTCTAGTGGATGTTTGATGGCTGATATGGAGTTGCTTTAGTGGTGTCCATACCGTTCCTGGGTGCCCATATCTCAAACGACCATTTTCTGTCACTATGCTGACAGTCTTTTCAGAGAGGTGAAGGATAGAATGGGCCATTTTAGGTCACTTTGGGGTGAAGTTCAGGGACAGTGGTGGCACAATACACTGCTTAATTGATATTCTAAAGTAAAAATAAATAAAATAAATAAAAGACAGCAGATACTGAAATGACCATAGTTTCTTCAGTTTCCATAAAGTGGATTATTCACACATCACAGACTAAAATCAGAACCAAATGAATCCCAATATATTTCACTAAACCATTCTCTTTGTACACATACACCACACTCAGAGGTTGGGATTTTTAGGAATATAGATATTCATCAAAGTAGCACATTTCTTAAGTGTTGAACACCTCTGGGTGGTCAAGTTCAAATCCATACTTAAGGCACAATTGACAGTGTCCGATAATCACCTTCTGGCATTGGTTAGGCTGGTGGTGAGCATTTACAATTGCAGAGACCCTTGTTATAACTAATGTATTCAAGCACATCTCTATATAATAAACTTGTTCCCCCAGCTGCCTCTTATTTGTCTATTTACTTTTTGTAAGAGATAATATGATAGCTATGCGTGAATGATTATTAGCTACAGATTCCTTCTGGCCTTCTAAAATTAGAAAGAAAAAAAACCCTATGGTTCACATCACGTGAGACACTTTGTTTAAGAGTACGTCTTCACTACCCCCTGGATCGGTGGGTAGTAATTGATCTATTGGGGATCGATTTATCGCATCTTGTCTAGATGTGATAAATCGATCCTCGAACGTGATCCCCGTCGACTCCGGAACGCCACCAGAGCGAGAGGCGGCAGCGGAGTTGACGGGGGAGCCGTGGCCGTCGATCCCGCGCCGTGAGGACCCTAGGTAAATCGATCTAAGATACTTCAACTTCAGCTACACTATTCACGTAGCTGAAGATGTGAGATCCTCCCCCCCGCCCCAGTGTAGACCAGCCCCAAGCCAGTGTTTCCCAAACTTGGGATGCCTCTTGTGTAGGGAAAGCCCCTTGAGGGCCGGGCCAGGC